GAAAAGCGCTATATAAGTGTAAGCAATTATTATTATTATTATTATTATTATTATTATTATTACTCTTCTGGGTTTTGGTTTAACTCCCCAATGGGTTGGGTGGGGTGAGTGGCCTCTTCACATTTGTAATCCTTCTTGTGTTCCTATTGAGGTATTATCTGTGAGCTTGACTCGTCTACTCACTGCACCCAAATCCAGGTCATTGATATCAATCAGGAAGTGCAGTGGGCCACATACAGGTCCATGTGGTACCCCTAAATTCCCACCTTGTCTGTGCTGTTTCCTACCCATCAACCAATGCTTGAAGACACACCTTACCCTGAATGCTTACTCCAGGCAGTTTGAGAGTAATGATTTACGAGGAACGTTACACAAGCTTTCTGAAAATCTGAATTTGGCTAATACAGAGCCTTGTCTGTTGATTTCCTCCTTGGTGAGCACCTCAAATATTCATTTAATACATCAGCTGTTTCCTTTTCATGGTTTAAAAGTTTTCCACTTTATCCTCTGTGATGCGTCATCCTTTATTGTCCTTTCGATGTTGTAACATCGAAAAAGTCTTTTCTTTCTCTCAGCATGACATCTTTTTTTACCAGTTTTCATTATGCTCCTTTAACTGGATTCTTTTCTTTTTTACTCATTTTATGAAATGCTTTTCTTCTTGCAGTTTTCTCCATTGATTCGGGCTGCTGGTTTCCAGCTTTTGACTCATCATTTTTTTAATTCAAACTCAAACTAGGGTGCGATGTTGATTATTTATATGGTATGTGATAAAAAGAGGTGATATTGATTATTATATAGTTCTGTATTAAGAAGGGGTGAACCTGATTATTATTTCAGTAGTACTCTGTTAAGAAGGAGTGAGATATTGCTTATTAATTATGCATTTCTGTGTTAAGAAGGGGTTAGATGTATTGATTATTAATTATACTGTCATGAAGAACCATACTCTGGCACCAGAGTGATGAGAATGGCTAGACAGAGTCATGTGATCAGAGGTGCCACTCCCCCAGCTGAATGTCCCAGATCTCCGGGGTCCTGACACCCCTGGAGTGTGGAACTCTCTGCAGAGGCCCAGCCAGCCCTGTGATCTGCTTTTGTAAATACAGTGGTGATCACAAGGAGAGCCGTGAGAGTGGACTGTCATGAGGTGTAGTCCGATATTAGAGTGAATGTGCCACCACTACAGACAGTCTTCACCAGCCAGACTCCTCACTGATGAACCAAAACCTAACAGGAGCTGGGCACTGCAGGGATCCTGATTAAAGCAGGATAAGGAGCTGTATTTTTCATACGTGTGCTAATATCTCATTTCCTTTTTTTTTAAATCCACCAGGCACAGTTTGTTAGACTTGTTTGTATTCGAATGCATTCTTGTATAGGGTGCCAAGCTGGTGTGAGTGATTGTGAAAGGCTAGGCATTTGTGATCTGGAGCTCAACTGTACAGAAGAGTTTGTAAATCTTAGTTTCTGTGTTTTGTGGTGTTGTTGTTGTTTCTAGTTTTAATGCATACATGTATTTTAAGCTATTGCTTATTTTGCATCTACCAAATTCCCCAAATCCACACAAAATCAAGCCTTGTGATGTTGCTTGGTGCTTCTTTGGCCAGTGGGGGCGTTTAATTATTTCACTTCAATAATTTTCTCATACACAACTTGGTGTGAGGACTGACTAATATCTGTGTAATATTTAACCTCTATAAAAACCCTTCCTTTACATAACAATATCTCTGAAAGCTGGTTTCAAAGAAGCAGATGTCTAGACTGCAGCTCCAGATGGAGCAGTGCAGTGTGAGGGGCTGTCATCAGAGTGAGAGTCCTGTCGTGACTGTGCTGCAGTTTGGAGGCCATGGGGCAGGGACAGATATCCGCATGAAACGGTACATTTCTCCTGGCCGCCTTCTGCACGCCTCTCTGAGTCGATGTGACTTTCATCCCAGTATCCCAGGTGAATGTGCACACTGCAGAGGATTTCAAAGGCAGCAAATCAATTTTCAAGTTTATTCTGTTTCAGATGATGTGCTTCAGTGGATTGCAGAATGCAGGAACACAGACCCCACACCGTTAAATTAAGTGTATGATTTTCCAGGGTTAAAGTTTGATTTACATAGTGATCTGGCTTGTATTACTTTAATTATTACACACTTCCCAATTTCCCATCGGCCCTTACCAATCATGGCCTCCTAATCATATCCATCTGTGAACTGGCTTCATTGCTCTGCTCTCCACCCCACTGAGAGCTGGGGTGTGGGGAGCGTTCTGGCGCACTATGGCTGCCGTCGCATCATCCAGGTGGGGCTGCACACTGGTGGTGGTGGAGGGGATCCCCATTACCTGTAAAGCGCTTTGAGTGGAGTGTCCAGAAAAGCGCTATATAAGTGAAAGCAATTATTATTATTACTTCTAGCAGCGAGTCTTGTTCATAAGAATAACCACTCACTCTAGATTGAGTTGTCTCATCTTCCTGATCTCTTTTAGGATTTAGGGTTTTTTCAAAACGGGTTTCTCGGTAGTGGATAAAGCTGTTTCCAGACAAGGAAGGGTGTGAAAATCTCGATGACATTGATTAGGCAGCGTGTCTCCACATTTTCATTTGTACATCCTGATTTTCTTGCCATAATTAATCAGAGATTTATGTTCTTCCTAATTGTGCACGTCTCATTTGCAATTCCCAAATCAATATTTTTTTTCTGGGCTTGTTTTAAAGCTGGATTTGCCTCTGCTGGCTGGCACTCGCGGAGACGGTTCTCTGTGTGTTCCTGTCTCGCACTCGTCAGGAAGTGGGCTGCTTTCCTCCCAGGTTCCTGTACCCCTCTGTGCTGTGTAAAACGTGCAGTAGAAAACAGACCAGCTTAGGCTTGGTAGAAATCAGATGCTGGTTCCTGTATGACTCATTAAATTGAAAAATAACATGCTGTTCTCGAGCAACTGTACAAGTTTTGCGCTTGTTCCTGTATTATTCCAGACTGGGTTTTGGCTCATTAGTGAAAAAATATTTGCTTCATTTTATGACTTCCTGCATCGTGTAGTGATGAACTGTGGGCCAGAACAAAGTATTGAAAGTTAAGTGTTATTAATTATCAAATAATTGAGGAATTGTTCACCATTTTTCATACAAACTAGGAACCAATGGAAAAGGCTATGAATTGAGCAATTACCCAGGAGCTGTCCAGTTGTGGCGGCTCTGCTGTTAGTGGTGTCCTCATTAGGAGATCAGTGTTCCTGGTTGGTCTGTGAAGCATGAAGGATTGGTACTCGGGGGCTCTCTGCAGGCAGGGACTGGGATAGATTACAAGAAAATTAATTAAGACAAGCAAGGCTTTATGGGGGAAATATAGCAGCACATAAGCATTACATGTTCAGAAAACTTTCTCGTTTGCTTTCTGGCAACCAGATGAGCTTCACCACTCAGCCTCTGTTGCCCCCCCTGTTGGCCGTATGTATGTGGTGTCCTAGGGGGCCTGGAACTGCCTGTCCAGCTGTAGCGATACAGATCTCACCAAGATCCTCCAGGGAATGACGTGGATGAGATCCTCACATTTTTTGGAAAACCTGCAGACAACCAGCTGAGGAAAGCCCTATTCTCCTTTGTAGCCTCTCCTACGTGCTTGCATGAGGACTTGCATCAGGAGTCCTAACGGCTCACATTGACACCAGCATGAGAGGCTAAAGTGCATGTGGGATTGCAAAGTTAAAGTAAACTGATGTGGCTGAAAACATTTTGGGGGATCCATATGGACTGAGGGGCCACAGGCAGTTCTGTGTGTGGGGCTGCTCTGTTACTGTCAGTCGCCAGAGGTCATCTGCCCCTCCTCAAGGGGCTCCCTCTGAGCGCCATCCTGGATGTCTTCCCTTTGTGAGTCATAGATATTGCTTTAGCATTCAGTCAAGTCTCACGGCGGTATAATTGCCCGAATAGGTCTCTGTTAAATGAGCTGAATTACTGCTGGAGCCCCAATTCAATATCAGCTCATGCTGAAATGAGACCTCAAGGGGTCAATGGTCATGGTATTTTCAACCAGAAACAGCCCAGTGATGTCTGTCATCACTGCACCATCGCTGTCTCCAGTTGCTACAGCATATCAGCTTCAGAACCTCATTATTGATTTATCGGAAGTGCAACACACCTGCTCTTAATTATAATCCTTCATACATGCATACAGGCTCCAAATTGATTTTCTTTCTTCATTAACTTCTATTCAGTTTGCTCCATATTTCCATACACAGATTTTATTTGTCATGACTTCAGTGCGAATTTAACCTTTTATTTCAGTCCTGACTGACTGCATATTGAATATGCTGCTCCATGCCTTTTCTTTTGTGTAGGTGGTTCAAGTTGTTGTGCTGCGGATGAGCCTCCTCAGGTTCAGTGTTTGCTGAAACATGCAGTTAACAAAGGCAAACAGCAAAATGAGCCAAGACAATGAGCAGCAGTCATCAACCTCTCCTCCCCAGGCCTCTGGGAAATCAGGTGCAGACAGAATACTGGTGTTTCCCAGGAGATCTCCATGGAGGTCCTGCTGCCCAGAGTCCTCTGGACTCAGGCCAGGCTGGGTGTGGTGTGGAGCGCTGGCCACTGGGGGCTGTTGAACTAGCTGTGAACCCTGAAGATGTTGAAATCATGCCAGGGTTTTTCTAAATAAGGGCTACTAACATCACGATAGCAAAGAGGCACATCGTAAGAGAAATAAGATGCTGAGAGTCTCTTCCATCATTCAGAACCACTACTGCCCTGCACCTCCAGGCACTGGACCTGACCGGTCCAGTATGTGCCCTCTGGTACCATTCCAGGGTGCACAGGCACCCATCCCCACCTTACCTGGTGGTCAGGGGCTTTGGGTGAGACAGGTAACCATCTTGACGCTTCGTCTCCAGACGTGTTGGAACACTTTGTGCCAGAGTTCCGATAACTGAACTCTCTCGGAAAGAAGTTCTGGGGGAGTCTTCCCATCCAGCCGTCCAGTGTCATTTTCTTCATCATCGCCGGCAGTTCTTTTGAGGGCCCTGCCAGATGAAGGCCACCGCAGGCCCCCTGTGCAGATTCCCATCTTCCGCGTCCCTGCCATTCCCACAATCTGCATACTATCATCTTCCACGCGACCCCCCTTGTTGGTCCAGTCTTCCTGTTGGGGTACAGTTGCGGATTCCTTTAGTTTGACTTCACATCCAGCCATTCCCCTTATCATGTCTTTTTCCAATACTGTCCCACGCTTTGCTGTCTTTCTCAGTTTATTTTCTTTGCGTTTTGTGCCCGACAGGCATGTTCCAGTCAGGTCGTGAAGATCTGATGGCCTTTCCTCTCTCGCTTCTGCTACGCTGCTTAAGACCAGTTCTGTGAGGCTGGAGGTCTTCGGTCCTGACTGCATTTGTGCCCCATTCAAATTAATTTGGAAACCATGGAAATGGATGCATAATTGAATCTGGAATTAATGAGCCTTCTTATGCAATGAAAGCACTAAAAAGCTTTGCCCGGAGATAATACACTTGGAGCTTGTCTTGAGATTTTCAATTAGCAGTGCTGGGATGTGGGTTCTGATTAGGGCCAGTGATGCAGGCTTTCTGTCTGATCTCTGGAAGATCAGAGGAAGACGGGCTCTTACACTTCCTCCTTGAGAGTTAAAAGTCCCCTCTAGTACACTCTATTTGTTAAGTCATCATCTTCATTCATTTTTCATATAGGACTGCGTCAAACATACATGCTTTAATGCATTTCTTTAAAAGGAAGCTGTAAAACCCGCTTTTACGATGATATAGCTTTGTATTACTGCATGAGACGGTTTTAAGAAGCTTTCATATTTGTCCCTAGAAAAGATTATCCAGCTTTGACCTCCTTATTGTTAACTTGATTGGAATTTGTAATTACTGAAGAGTCAGACTCCGGCGTTCTAATTATACTTATTTCTGCAGACGGGTTTCAGACGTCATGGGAAAAAAAATCAATTGGTTTTTAAATTCCGAAATCCATCGAAAGCCGTTCTGATGAATCTCTGCGCGCACGGACACTTGTTTGTGACTGGCTGTACACGCGCCTGACACGTGAGAGGAATGTGGGAGACACGATTGTACTGGAGGATGATTATCGGGATTCCTAAAAGCCCCCATTCCCGCCCCTGCTTCCCCGGGGCCTGCGGGGGAGTTCGCGTCTGCGAGGAGGAGTGCCCCCTGACCACACCACGAGCCCGCGGGAGTCTGGCCAGCTCCGAGGCCAATGCCGCAACTAGCCCAGCCCAGATCAGCACAGGCCAGACACGGGGCTCAACCGTCCCCCCAGATGTGCAGCTTTTATAGCAGAGCCTCCAGCCCAGAGCCTACATTTCAAGGTCATCTCTATATTTGTATATTATTCCTCCAGTCAGAAGGACTGCCTTGGAGGCACACAAAGCAGAAATCACTTCATCACTTTCTCTTTGTACAATCACATTATTCATTTCCTCAATGTGCTCCGGAAAGCTTTGATTTGTTATTTTTTTTTATTCTTTTCTCTGCTGTGGAAAACCTCTTTAGCGGCGTTGCTTTTGGATTTTTCTGGCAATGCTTGGGTGGGAGCAGCTGCAGAAGGGTGTTTGTTTCTGTGGCATGAAGCTGAAATGTGTGAACTGCTGCTCGTCTGCCTGACGGGCAGGCGGAATGATGCTGAGGCAGCCGGGTGGCTTGTGTGTGCGTGTGTGCGACAGCGTGAGACCGCCTCGCGCGTCTGGACCCCTGTGCCCTGGCCGGCTGTACCCCGGGTGCAGCAGGGCACCGGCGGGCCTCGGTCGGCACCAGGCGTCCACGGAGACTCTGCTGCGATAGTCCCCCGCCCCCCCGAGAGGCGCGGTTGAGACGAGGGCAGTTTTCTCCCGCCTGTGCCCACGTGCCAGGCAGCCCGCAGGGGCTGTGGCACTGTGGCACTCTGGCCTACCTCTGCCCACAGCCCACTGCTGCAGTGCGAGTCCAGCGATGGAGCCACAGCCAAAACATTATAAGAGACTTAATTATTGTTAATTAAAAACCAAGGAAAATGCCTTGAATTGTAGATTCACATTCACAAGGGGGTCCAGAGAGGATGCAGATAATTGGTTATGAACAGTCTTCTGCACTGTACCAGACACTGTAAAGATGTCTTTAGTGAAGACTTTAGAATTGTGGAAGGAATCTTCTCAGCCTTCCCTAAATACAGTACACCTGTAGCCTGATGTTGCTTGTTGATCTGAACGACTGCTGACTAACTGGAAGATACAGTAAGCATGCATACAGGTCAGCTGTATCCTGTGTGGTGTAAGGACAACCACTGCAGCGGCACACACATCACAGTTGTGTCCGGTAATGACAACACAACGATGTCCGCATCGATTCATGCTGTAAAAGCAGCTCTTACCTCTCCCATTGTGGATGTCTCAGGAGCTGAAAGCCCCACTTTCTTCTGTGTAACAGTGACTCCCTGATCACTGCAGCAGGCTACGAGGAATGGCTGGGGTGCTGTCAGAGCCCTGCGTAGTTGGAGGGCAGCTCATAAAAAAAACAGATGGTGCCAAGCATTCTGACTTCCATGCCCTTCTGCGGTGTCCCAAGATAAGGACTAAGAGAGAGATAACCTAGCACTTTGTTTCTACAGTCAGACTTCCCAGATCCAGGCTCAGACCAGGATAGGATCCTAAGATACACTTGGTGCCAGCACCGATCAAAGAACGAGGAGACAGTGAAAATGGGCACACAGAACTCAAGTTAAAATAACCCACACTCCTAGATCAATACTCTCCTACCATCCACCTGTGTCAGTTCCTGCAGGAGAAACAGGGCCAAGCATTTGTTTACTGTACAATGCTGTAGGTGTCACTGTCACAGCTGGGTTGTAATAACCTTTTCTCCCCATCCTCTCTCTCAGGATTTGGGGATGGAGTCGACATCCCTGGATGACGTCTTATATCGTTACGCCAGCTTCAGGAACCTGGTGGACCCCATCACCCACGAGCTCATCATCAGCCTGGCCCGCTACGTGCACTGCCCCAAGACGGTAGGCCCTCACCCCCACACCTCTCTGGAAGGGGCCAGTTCCAGACCTCCTCGTCCTCATGTATGTCTGACTGTCCAGGAATAAAAGAGAAAAGCCAGTCAGTAGTTGCACTGAGAACCTGAAAGCCCAGAATTCCCTGCGGCTCATGATGACCGATATTTTGACATTTTACACACCTGTGAGGCACTGGGGTTTGTGAAGACCAGGCGTTTGTAGGATGGGCTTCTTCTGATGTCCTCTGTGTGAATTCAGCACTGTGGGCACAGACACATTAAAACAGCACGGTTAATTGAGAAAACAAATAGCCTCAGTGTAGAACATGAAATGAAATGAAAGCTAAAAGGCTTTGCTGTGTCTGGAACTGACTCTAGTAGCATACCGTACAATCAGCTAAAGTATGAAATATTTTACTGGTTATGAAAGCTCATCGTGCAGGTAGGTGCTGATACAGAACCTATTGGTCCTGGTCTTGGCAGACCTGAGCCGCTGACAGGAGGGGAGTGAAAGTAAATGGGCTGGGCAGGGTGGAAGGGGTCAGGGAGGATCTTTACAGCTTTGCGTTTCAGTGTTAAGAGATCACTTTGTTGGCCCTATACAATTTCTTGCATTAGGAATTTGTCATTTCGCACACCCCAGCTTGCTCTCCAGGGGAGACACAGACACACAGACAGGGAGAGAAGCTTGGGGTCAGAGCACAGGGTCAGCCATTAATACAGCACCCCTGGAGCAGTTGGGGTGAAGGGCCTTGCTCAGGGGCCCAACGGAGTAGGATTCCTCTGCTAGCCGAGAGATTTGAACAGGTAACCAGCCACAGGCACAGATCCTGAGCCACAGTACCACCGCACCGTGGAGTGTCGAGAAGCAGAGGGAGTCTTCAGAGGGAAGAATTTTAGAGGCGAAGTACACTGCTCTAGCTGCTTTTGGTCCTGGGCAGAACTGTTAACAAACATAACAACAAAGGGCTGAAAATAGAAGAAGCAGCCAGGATAATCCTGCCTTGGTGGGCTTTGTTTGGAGAGTGCAGGTGCTGGGTGTGCGGGATTTAACATTAAAACAGTCAGCTTTGTGAGGTGAATCGGGTATTGTACTCTGTGAGCTTCTTAGCAGCTGCTTTTTAATCCAGCACTCCTCTCTCCTGGCTGTGAGTCATCCGCTGCCCCCCTGCCACCCCATCATAGCTGACTGCACAGCTACACCTGCAGCACAGTAATTGCACTTTGCTTGAAATCCAATACCTGGTCAGCTGTCAAATTAAATAATCCATCCAGTGTTTCAGTATCAGCAGCTGATCAAATCAAACCTTAAACAGTCACCGCCGATCCTGGTAACAAAGCAGGGAGCCTGGACAAGATTCTGGTTTCCACCAGCCCTCTCAAGCCTTTGTGCTTCAAGATGCCTAAGTAACATTGCTGGAAAGGTGCTGCTTGGCTAATCCGAAGAGAACATTTCGGTCTGAGAAAGGGGAATAAAAAACACAAGCAGGCTGGCAGAGCAGGGAGCCGGTGCAGCAGGCAGAGCATTGCAGCCGGTGCAGCAGGCAGAGCGGTGCAGCAGGCAGAGCGGAGAGCCGGTGCAGCAGGCAGAGGGGGGAGCCGGTGCAGCAGGCAGAGCGGGGAGCAGGCTGAGCGGAGAGCCGGTGCAGCAGGCTGAGGGGGGAGCAGGCAGAGCATTGCAGCCGGTGCAGCAGGCAGAGCGGTGCAGCAGGCAGAGCGGGGAGCTGGTGCAGCAGGCAGAGCGGGGAGCCGGTGCAGCAGGCAGAGCGGTGCAGCAGGCAGAGCGGAGAGCCGGTGCAGCAGGCAGAGCGGGGAGCTGGTGCAGCAGGCAGAGCGGGGAGCCGGTGCAGCAGGCAGAGCGGGGAGCTGGTGCAGCAGGCAGAGCGGGGAGCCGGTGCAGCAGGCAGAGCGGTGCAGCACGCAGAGCGGAGAGCCGGTGCAGCAGGCAGAGCGGAGAGCCGGT